GAAGCCAGAATGCTCCTTGGAGTCAAGGATTCTGAAGCTTTGTCTGACATACTTTGGGCATGTTGCAAGGAGGAACTGGTCCTTGGAGAGGGACATCATGTTCGGGAGAGTGGAGGGACAGCACAGGAGAGGAAGACCCTGGATGAGATGTAGCGATTCTGTGATTGGGGTGGTGGGAATGAGTGTGCTGGAGACGGCGAGTTTGGCATAGGCTAGAGCAGCATTTAGGGTTCTTGTACAAAGGGTCACTATGAGTCACAAGCAATTTGACGGAACATAACAACAACAACAATTTTTGTGTTGAAATTGCAATTTCTTATCACTAAGGAGTTCAGGAAATTATTGAACAACATCACTAATATTACACACTAGCAAAATCCTGCTGAAGATTATGAAGAAATAACAAAAACAATACATTGACAGAGAACTACCAAAAACACAAGCTGGATTTAGAAGAGGTCATGACAGTAGAGATATTATTGCCAATGTCTGAAGGATCTTGGCAGAAATCAAAGAGTACCAGAGGTATATCTATCTGTGTTTCATTGACTATGCAAAAGCATTTGACGGTATGGATCACAACAAATTGTAACTAACCCTGAGCCAAATGGGTATCCCAGAACACTTGAATTTGCTTACACGAAACATATACTTGGACCAGGAAGCAAACCTCAGAACAGAGAAGGGAAACACTGCATGGTTCAAAATCAGAAAAGGAATGTGACAGGGATGCATCCTGTCTTCATAGATTTTCAGTCTATATGCAGAACAGATCATTCAAAAAGAAGAGCTTTCTGAGGAGGAATGTGACATCAAGACTGGAGGAAGACTAACCAACAATTTGTGTTATGCAGATGACATAACTTTGCTTGCTGAAACTGAGGAGGACCTGAAGCACTTGCTGCAAAATGTTGAGGACTGTAGACTTCAATATAAATTGAAGCTTAACACCAAAAAGACAAAGATTCTCACCACTGGGCCAATTGGCAGAACCATAATAGATGGAGAAGAGATTGAGATTGTTAACAATCACAGATTGCTTGGCTCCACAATCAACACTCTTAACACCAGCAGTCAGGAAATCAGGACAAAATGCATTGGAAAAATCTCTGGTAGGAACCTCGTCAGAGTACTGAAAAGCAATGACGTCAGTCTAGAGACTAAGATACGATAAATCCAGGCCATGATCTTTACAATTACTTGTTATGCTTCAGAAAGCTGGGTAATGTCTAATGATGATAAAAGAATTTATGCCTTCAAATAGTGGTGTTGGAGAAGAGTCTTGAACATACTAGAGACTGCCAAGAGAAGAAATAGGTCTGTCTTGGAGAGGTTGAAATCCAGTTTCTCCTTGGAGGCTAAGATTTTGAAGCTCTGTCTCACTTACTTTGGGTACATGACCTAAGAGACCAGTCCTTGGAGAAGGACATCATGCTTGAAAGGGTGAAAGGATGGCACAGAAGAGGAAGACCCTCCTGGGTGAGATGGATTGATAAAGTAACTGGGGCAATAGGAGTCAGTGTGTTGGAAATACTGAGACTAGTTCAGGACAGGGCAGGGTTTAGAGTTGCTGTACATAGGGTCACTATAGGTCGCGGGTAACTCAACGACACCTAACAACAACAAGGAGTTCTGGTGGCTTGGTGGTGAGGATTTGCACTGCCAACCCAAAGTGTCATGATTCAAATCTATCAGCTGCTCTGAGGGGGAAAGAAGGGAAATTTCTTTCCATACAATTTACTGCCTCTAAAAACTAAAAGGTCAGCTGTCACTGAGTCAGTTCTGACTCAATATGCACAAAAATGACAGCCATGATGGGTAGGGGTAGAGGGTGTGATCTGGGCACCAGATTCCACAGTAGCTAACAACAACCTGTTTATCAGCCCCTGAAAATGCAGCACTTGCTAAACTAATGGCCCCCTCTCTCCAAATTACCATATAAAATGCACAGTGCAAGCCCATGAGATAGATACCATTATTATCTTCTCTTTCGAAATGAGGGACTCGAGGCTTAGCAAGATTAAGAAAGTTGACTCAGATGGATCATTGGGATTCATCTGAGTCAATAAAAGGAAAGAAATTAATTCCAATCTGTTCCAGAATCCTAATTCTAACCACTATATAACACTTTACACACAATTAGTTTAGTTCTTTTAAGGACTCCCTATTGCCTACTGCTGCCCTGTGATACCAAGTATTCTTAATTGGGGTCACATAATAGGCTACAGGGTTGGGCCTCTGAGGCTAGACCTATTTACTGAGATACTTGTCTGGAAGTCTGAAGAGGTAGCCTCTTGTCTTGTATATTTGTGTCTCTCCAAGTTGGCAGTAATAAAATACCAACAATAGTATTTATCATGTAATATTCTTCAAGTGAGGCTTAAAACTAGAAAGCCTTTGGCTTGCAGGTATGTTTTGGACAGTGTTGTATTTTATTCAAGTATTAAACATGAATGCTTCAAGGCAATATAGGAACTCTCTTGTTCCAGATGCTTATAGTCATAAATATTCTCTATGCCTTGAAGGCATTTGCATCTACTGCTCCTGATTAAAATAACATTAATCAATTCATGCTTATTTTGTTACATAATTAGAGCAAATGAGAAGATTTTCTAGTTCCAAATATTCCTTGCTCAAACTAAGGAGGATAGTTATTACCTGCAAAAGATCAAAGATGTCCTAAGGATATTTTGTGAAATTTAGGTCAAGAAGAACTGGTTATAGTGATTTTTCTCTATGTAGTATTTATCAAAACACATTCAGGCAAATTCTTCTTCAGCTGATGCTAAATTCTTAAATACGGGGAGATCTGGTAGCTTCGTGATAAAGAGTTGAGCTGCCAACACAAAAGTACGTTGTTTGAGGTGCTAACGTAACCTTGGGGATTCGGGTCCATCCGACCTGCTGACCATCTAATTCTCCCACTCTTTATCTATATTTTCCCTTTAATACAGCATGCAGGAAAAAACGGCCTTTTCTTGATTATTTTTTAAGTGCATGGTTCAAATCCACTCCCATCCATGGCAGAAAAAGGAGCAATAAACTCCTGTGCAATTTAGTATCTCTGAAAACTCACTGGAGGGTCAACTACGAGTCAGTTCCAATTAGACAGTATTTAAAAACAACAATAAACTAAAGAAAATACTCCTGGAAGAAGACTAGTGGTAATAGTAAAAATCATAGAATTTTCCTACAGAAGATGTGATTTATTTTTGTAAATTTATTTATAATTGGTTGATTGCAACTCTTGCCACCTCATATATGTCAGCGTAAACCTGTGCTCCATTGGGTTTTAAGTGGCTGTATCTTTTCTTCCTTAGCATCTCGGAGTGGACTTGAATTTTCATTGATTAGCAGACTAGTACATTAACACTTTGTACCATTCAAGGACTTCCTCATAATAGGTTAAAACAACAGAACTTTGTATCAGAATAACCACTGTGAAAAGTCAATTGTTCTTTTTCTTTTCAATTAGGAAAAATTGAAACCATGGTATGAAACAAAAGTTTCTTTACTCATCTAACTAGTTTTTGGTACAATTAGAAAACCACACACTGAGTTTCCAGAAAACCTGTACTGTCAAATAATAAAATAATGAAGATCTCCATTTGCCTAATATCCAAGGGTAGTCTTACAACTAAAAGAAATTTGGAAGCAAAATTATAGAATTAAAACTCATGTATGAAAAGGAATTTTGTCCTCTGAGAATTAAGGTTCATATTATAAACACTATTTCTACATTCCTGATAATTAGCAGTTTAGTCTTCTCTGATTCTCACAAGTCTATGAAGTTGCAGTTGCATTATTCTCCTGTTGCATATAAGGATATGCAAACATGAAGGTTAATTAAATAAGACAATAGTTCGTGGTGAAGATGGGATCAGAATCAGGTCTCTTGAAAATCAGAGTCCAAGGACTCACCATCTATAATCCCAATTCTGTTTTCAGCCACTTTGCAATTTAGTACAGCTTTCAACTGCCTACAGCAAAGTCACATTTGAGATTCACTCCATGGGACAGGTGAGCAGCTTCATCGCTGTGATCCTAGGAGTTTCACCATATGTGCTGGACACCTACACCAAACAGTGCTGTGGGCAGTGTGAATATAGAAAATGGCCCCAGAGGGAACTCAGTTGCTATGAGGATGAGGACTCCAAACAGATGGGCTCTCAGCCAAGCACAGATTTGCCTTGTGTGCAGTTTACTTGTGTTTTAAATCCTGGCACTTTTGTGGTTCCTGTGAATAGGCAGGGTCAGGGCCTCTGAGGTCCACAGAAGGAGAAGCACATGCACATAAAGGGCCTTCCAGCTACAGTGGGTTGTTCACAGAGCTCCCACTCAGGAGCAATTTAAGTCCACAGTAACAATACATGAATACCGTTGGCTCATAATGCTGAGCATTTCAGATAAAATCTGCTCAAAAGTGTAGCTGAGTATTTTCATTTGTTTGTTCAAGTAATAACATTTCACTTTGAATTCTTGCTAACCGAAATTTTATTCTTTGAATCCCTAAGTATCCTCTCAAACCTTCTTTGCTCCGGAGTTTTCCTTGACTCCTCCACCCAAACAGATATGGAGGTTTCATAGCCCTCGTGGTACTTATACAAACTCCCATTAAAACAATTCTTAGGACATCACATCCTCCCAAAACTCAAGAAATCCAAAATAACTCACGTTAAGTTGATCTCAACACATAGCAGTCTTCCATCAGGTTTTTTAGGCTGTTTATGCATGAAGATTGTTTATCTTTCTCGTGTGGAGCTACTGATGTATTCAAACCAGAACCATGTAACAGTCTGATACTTTATCCCAGAAATACCTTCCTATTTCTTTCCCACTTATAGCTTGTATACCTTGTCAATCTCCTCTTTGTATTCTTAAATCTTATCACAGTTTCTGGGACACGATCATTGTTAATAAATGCAATCCTGCATGATTTGCAACTTCTAAGATGGTCCCCACTATAATCTCCAACTCTTGATGTGCACATCCTTTAATAGTCAATTTCCTCTTCTCGAATACATTATTTTCATGTGCTGTTGAGCCAGGTCAAATTCATAGCAGACACATACGACAAAGAAGAACTGCCCCAGAGAGTTTCTTAGGCTTCAAGCTTTATGGCAATAGTTCACCAAGTGTCTTCTTTTGTGAGCCAGTGAAGTCCTTAATTATCCTGCCATTCGAACTCCTACCCCTTAAAGGATATGTGTGGGACTTTGTCATCTGATTCTGACAAATGTACCAATGGCAGACATGATGGGTCATTATTATAAAATAAGAAGAGTTTAAAAAGACTGAGGCTTCTAATCTGAGGTGATTTCCTTCTTCTCTTTCTCTTCCTTTCCTCCTCTATTTTTTTTTCTTTTCCTTTTTTTTCTCCCATATTCCTTCTCCTATCTCCCTCTCCCCTTTATTCATTTCTTTCTCTCCCTCTTCCCCCTAGTCCTCCTTTCCCTATAATTTTACAGAGAAAATAAGCTTCCACGATTCAGTCAGTCCTGTGGTGAACTCTCATGGCAAAAAAATAACTTAATGTCTCCATCTGGTCAACACCAAGGAAGACTCAAGCTTGTCGACAGACATAAGAGAAGTAGAAACAGATTCTTTAGCCCTACTTCAGCCTTGAGATAACCATTGATTTCCCCAGGCAACACCTTGATTTTAGTCTGTGAGAGATCCTGAACTCCCCAATTAAATAATACATAGATTTTGTAAGATATTGCTTGTCTGTTTAAGTGTTGAGGTAGTTTGTTGTACAATTGATAGTAAATAAAGATTTATAAATGAATAGTCTAGATCAACAAAATTGTCCTACTGTAAAGTCTAGAAATTTGCCCAAAATTGTGATACTCAAGTACATCCCTAATTGCTTAGATTGACAGGAAGTTCATCATCCCTTTCCCAATACCATAAATTCATTCCTAATACCATCGTTCTTCGTACCAACTATCTCTGTTCAAACTTTACTACTTGAGCGAAAAACCCAGTGACACTTTTTATGAGTAAACATTTTCATGATTGCTTAAATAATTAACTCCTGGAAGGTCCCACTATAACACACCAAAGACAAATGGAACAATGTAAAATGAAGCTGCGCTTGCTTATGGTGGTCCCACAGTCTAGTCTGATTTCTATCACTTGGAATTGTAGTTGAGACATATTCCCAAAAGAAAAGATTAACCAAGCAGAAAACAAAGGTCATCTAATGAGAAGAAGCTGAACTGTAGACAACATAGGTGCTAGTTCCACTGTTCTTAAACTACACCCCATTCGTAAGATGAAGCAACAGCTCCACCCCTAATTTGGAGATAGACCTAAACAGGTTTTTCTTGATGTGAAAGAGGTCACACTTTCACCTGCTGGGACCATACTCAGTTTAGGGAGCTCTGTGCTCCTAAAGTGATCTGGATTCCACTTTATAGTGTTTTGCATTCAGTCACCTTGACTGATTTCCAGGAGACACTGCCAATTTCTCAAAACTCTAGAATCACATTGTATTCTAGAATATTTAAGATGTTGCTGATGCTAGAATACTCGTCCCAGTGATTTCTCTCAGTAACATAAAATTTTGAAGCATCGTTTCCCTTCTTTGGACACATTTAACTCAGTCTACATATTTTCATAATCTGCTCTGAGATAAAATTCCACACACATCTCTAGCTCTATTATGCAAAGAAAGAGGGCCTCTTAGTTTCCCTGGGGATGGAGGTCCTCAGCCAGGCCCAAGTTTGAAAGATTTGAAAGGAGGCAGCCCAAGGGGCTGTCAAGTCCATGCATAAGGGTAGCTGAGATTTCAGAGTGTCTTCTGAAAGTTGGAAGGCTCAGATTCTGAGAAAGGCTAAGAGATGATGTGGGCATCCTCTGTCACAATCAATGGCCTGGAAGTGCTTGGCACTGGGGTGGGCTCTGAGTCAGGCCTGCAGTTTTTGGAAATATTGGATGTGTGTGCAAACAGGAGTCCAGTGCGGACAGACCTAAATCCCAAGGGAGTTCAAAATGCTTTGGAGGCAAAAATGCCTGGGGAATGTTCTTAACAGTGCCTGGGAAATTTTATGAGCAAATGGGCCTTTTTGAAGGCTAAGTCTTTTCTGAGTCAGAAAAGGAGTCTGAGAGTGCAGAGGCAGAAGTCAGGAGAACAGGGAGAGGCAGAAGTCATAGGGGCAAAGTTCTCGATAGGAAGAGGCACCAGATGACTCCCTGCAAGGACTGTTCCAGAATAGAAGTTTGAAAGAGAATTTTCCCCATAGATAGGCTTTAAAAGCAAGGGCAGACAAGGTAAACAGAAATTTGTAGTCATAAAAAGCAAAGATACAGAAGTAGGAAAAGGCATTACATGATTATCAATAGCAATTTTACATGTGGCTAGATAAAAGGATAATGATTTCAGAGAACCTGGAGGGGAAACTAGAAATGTTAACTGACTGCTTTACAAAAGACCTTGAATTCCACTTTAAGAGATTTTAAGGAGTAATCCTGTTGGCAACCAGTTGACATAAGAGACATTGAATGCAGAAAGCTGTACTGATATGATACGCTTTCTGAAAAGTAACTGTTAATAAAGTCAGGCTATTTATCCTGGAAAGGGTTAAACCGGGTGGCTCCTTGGAGGTAAGGATTCTGAAGCTCAGTCTAACATTCTCTGGACGTGTTGTAAGGAGGGACCCGTCCTTGGAGAAGGATATCATGCTTGGGAGGGTGGAGGGACAGCGCAGGAGAGGAAGGCTCTCTATGAGGTGGATTGATTCGGTGACTGGGGCAATTGGGATGGGTGTATCAGAGATGGTGCGATTTGCACAGTACGGAGCGGAGTTTAGGGCTGTTGTACATAGGGTCGCTATGAGTGGCAAGTGACTCGATGGCACATAACAACAACAACAATTGCTTACTTGTTAAAACTTTACCAAGACTTTCAGTTACAAAATCACTTCTGTTTGTTTTACATTAAGCCAATAGCTCTTTCAGAGCCCTCAAGCTCTGCAGAAGCATCTACTTGCTCAATTTGTTGTTCTTTGGTCATTAAGGATTTTCAAATGACTTTGAATATACATTCTTTATTAGTAATTGTTATCCTATCTAGGTGTCTGAAAACTATGAAAACTATGAAAATATATTTTATCATCTATAAAATTTTATGACTAAAACTTTTCACTAGTTTAGTCTAGTATGTTCTCCTAATAGTTCCATTTCCCCATTACTGTGAATTTTAAAAAAATGTTAATTAAGAGGGTCTCCCTCTATATTGCAAAGATTGTGTCTATGAAGAGGAAACATGGCATATACCAAAGACCATAGTATTTGTGGCATCATGTATTTACAATAATCAGCTCCATACTACTGTTGTTTTACATGCTGTTGTGTAAACTACAACTCAAAGGGAGGGACCCCCACCCTGAGTAACAGAGCAAAAACTTTTTCTACCTTACACTATCCTCACAATCTTCATCAAGCTATTGTTGCAGTCATTGTGTCACCCTATCCTTTGGAGAGTCTTCCTCTCTTTTCCCGATCTTCTTTTTTCCAAACGTAATGTTTTTTCCCCATGACTGGTGCCTCCTGATAACATGCCCAAAGTATATGTGATGAAGTTTCACCATTATTTCCTCCAAGGACAACCCTTGTTGCACTTCTTCTAAGATAGATGAATAGTTCTTTTGATAGACCATGATATATTCCATACTCTTTACCAATTGCAAAATTCAAAGACATCAGTTCTTCTGTCTTCCTTAATAATTGTCCAATTTCAGCTGTTTGTGAAGCAATGAAAAACACCATGATTTTGGTCAGGTCTACTTTAAAATTGATATACTTGTTGTCTGGCACTTTCTTGACTGCTGCTACTATGAGTACTGATTACAGATCCAAATTAAATTAAATAATTGACAATTTCAATAGTTTTCTGTCATGTTATGCACTGGTTCACTGTTAGGATTTGTTTTCTTGATGGTTCAGATAACCATGATAAGTCTGACAAAGGGTTTCTTTTCATGGGGAATTGTGTACCACAATAGGTATATTTATCTCTATCCTAGGAAAAAGAAGAATAACAGTTGTATTGGCCTAGGTAGTCTGATCATGAGCTGATCCTCAAAAGTGCTTCTGATATTGAACATACTTTTATAAACCTTATCTAAGGATTTTATGCTGGGATACTATGGACAATATAATCTAGATTACTTTTGATCCTTTCATACAGAGTCCTCAAAGGTATTCTCAAAGATGTAGTCTTTGATGTTTCTGGGGACATAACTAACGACTGTGTTGTAAAATTATTGCCAAGTTGGTGGGGGTATGTTGTGCATGTGTACGCATAAGTGTGAAATTTTTCCAATGTCTATTTCAGATTGATTGTCAGAATATCATCTACTTAGGAGAAGGATGACTGTGTTTAGTCATGTAAAGGGCTTGGGGGGAAAAAAGTAAAGCAGAATATATTATGGTGCTTTACTTTTTTAATTTCTTTTTCCTTTTATTATTGCTTTGCATTCAAAAATATGCTTCATTCATGTGTTTTATACAATCTTTCATTTATAGTGTGTTTCATACACTCATTCATATACATTTATTATGGAGACTTAATTACTATTGATCTATGCTTATTTTGTTTTCAATAAAATTTGTATTTTTTACTAAAAAAATGGTATATTGGAGTTCTAAGTAATTATTTAATTTCTAATTAGGTGTCCCAATTTTACATGAGATAGTTATTGTTGTTGTAATTATTTTGCTTTCTTTCCTATGTCCCTTCAATTATTCACTTAATACTTAATTATACACACAACCATTTGTGTTCATTGCATTCCCTATATGTCTGGTAATTGTGTTCTATGTGCAGGCACAGTCACAGGATAGCATTTAGTCTTGGAACAAATGAGAGTAGATGGTGGTTGTCCCTGTTTCTCAGAGAGAAAGAGGTCTGCTTACCTCATGCCCCTAACAGTGACTGCAACAATGGATTTTAGAATCATAAAGATTTGTGAGAGGTACAGTATGAAGCAAGTTTTCAATTGATTGTGCATAGGGTTGCTGTGAGTTGTAGTCAATGCAACAGCACCTAACAACAACAAAGCCTGTACCAGGAAAACACACACACACACACACACACACACACACACACACACACCCCAAACTATAGTCTCATTCTGTTCAGCTCAACACAGATCCATGTGATATCTTTTTCACTGCAAATATTGCACTTTAAAGGACCTTTTTATCACTATATTTTTCAGCATCACTATTGTTAAAGCAGTGCTCTGACAGTGTTACATACTTGCTGGTCCTCACAAGAGAAGCACTTGCCAGCTTAGCAGATGCACTCACACTGAACCTACTGCTACTGAAGGCCTGAGGCACTCTCAGGCCAAGTTGAGGTTTGCACCATCAGGTTAAAGTCTGGTGTGGTATGGTTTGTGACAGTGTCACAGAAACCAGGAATACTGAATCACTGTCTCTGTCAGGCTACAATGAGCTCCAAATCCATGCTGAGCTATCAACCTTCCTGAGAAGAAGTCCAGAGCAGCAGAGATAGAAACAGACTCCAGGAGGCTAATGTCTAAGATGGCATCTTTCAACAGAATCTGTATGCCAGTTTTAAAAAGAAAAAAAAGATTTAAATTTCTTAATAATCTAAATGGTAATGGTGAAAAAAAATTACAATATAGCAACAAAAATGGCAAAACATTTTGCTAGAATTGTTTCTGTTTTAGTTACTTCAGAAGCAAATCTAAGAGTGGATAATCTAGGAGGTGAAGGAAACAATGGTAGAAAAGTGAGAAACTCAGGGGAGGAGCATCAGCCAAGCTGGGGCATTATTTCAAGGCAGCTACCAGCCTGGACAACGGGAACACAGCACAGCTGGGAAAACTCTGGGGAACATGCGCCTCAGGTTTTTCCCTTCTGAGAGGTGAAACAGCTGGGGTATGTACACGCCAACTCCTGTCAGTCACTACTAAGAGCCGCTCCCAAGCTGAGGATGCATTAATGCCCTGGCATTTCCAGATTGCTACAGACAACAAAGCAAGCTCCTGGAGCCAGATAAATCCACACACAAAGAAATGGAGGTGCTGGCCGTGAGAAGTTAGTCCAGTGTGATTAAAAACAGGAAAGGGCAATCGGCTATGAGCAGGCACCAACACTGTCCATGATAACCCTTTCATGGAGTCTTGGGTGAAGTACAACCAAGGTGCTCCTTAGAGAGAAGGATGGTAAAATTCCATCTCACACTCTAATGCCTGTTGTAAGGAGGACTCAGGAAGAGTTGATGTTAGGAAAGATAGAGGGTCAAAGAAAGAGAGGAAGACACTCAACAAGATGGATTGACAAAATTGCTGTAACAATGTACCAAACATATCGGAGATGATGAGGACAGTGCAGAATAGGGCAAGATTCCGATCTGTTGGTTCTAGTGTTGCTGTGAGTCACAATCAACCTGGAGTCACCTAACATGAACAGTATACCGTGCTCTCTCTGGACAGGTTATCTCAGGTAATTCATTCACAAATGTGCAAGATATCATTTAGCAAATTGATTTTATAAACAAAGAAGTTGCAACTTAAATCTTCACAACTGTTAAATGGCGCGTGTTTTAATCAGAGATTTAGCGCAGAACTAAAAGCACAGATCTCCTTTATGCCAAACAATGAAGTGACTTAGGATATTCTTTGTCTTTGTTCCTGGTTATGAACATTAAAGGACAGTTGTTGCCTGTCAAGTAGATTCTGCCCGGTCACCTCACATATGTCAAAATAGACTTAAGTTCTATAGAGTTTTTAATGGCTGATTTCTTTATGATGTAGACACTGATTTTTAATCTGAGATGCTTCTGGGTGGATGAACATCTCTAAAGTTCCACTTAACAGCCAAAAGCATCAACTTTTATCATGCCATATTGTTCTGAGCCATTCTTATTGACTGCAACACACCTACCCCCATTGCCCGAGTTACTGTATCAATCCATCTCATCCGGGGTCTTCCTCTCCTGCACTGTCCCTCTATCTTCTGAGCATGATGTCCTTATGAAAGGACCAGTCTCTCCTGGCGACAGGCCCAAAGTATGTGAGACAGAGCTTCAAAATCCTACCCTCCAAGGAGAAATTTGGTTTTACCCTCTCCAAGACAGGCCTATTTGTTTTCTTGGGGGTCCATGGTATGTCTACAGGGATGCTAATCTGTGATAGATTTGTTGTTAGATGCCATCCGGCAGCTCCAACTCATAGCAACCCTGCGTGTGAAACCACACTCAATCCCTCACCATTTTAACACTTTCTGCTGTCCTTACACTGATAGTTGTAGTCACTATGTCAATCCATCTTGTTGAAGGTCTTTCCCTCTTTTATGACCTTCTATTTTTCTAAGCATCCTCTCCCTCTCCAGTGACTGGGCTTCCTGGGCATTTCCAAAGTTTTGAGACTTTTCCTCGTTTCTAAAGAGCGCTCAGCCTGTACTTTTTCTGAGAAAAATGTATTTGTTTTCTTAGTTGTTATTGTTATTCACTGTTGAGTTGGAATGGACTCATAGCCTCTCAAAATCTGAGAGGTTTCCAAAGACTGTAAATCAAATGGGAGGAAACTATCTTTCTCTTGTGGTACTGCTGGTGCATTCAAACTACAGCTCTTTGGAAAGGTAGCACAACTCCTTATCACTAAGACATTAGAATTTACTTGTCTTCCTAAAACCACTGGCAGATAATACAATATTTCTTCATCAATAGCATAATTTAAAAGGCCAATTCTCTTTCAGTTTTCCTTATTCATTTTTCTACTTTAACATGCACACTGGAAAAAGGGATAGCATCCACTTCCTAAATAGCATGCCTCTGGAAACTCTTGTGAAATTTGATAAATTACAAAAGTGATATACTTCAGACATTTTGTTCATAGGATTGCTATGAGTCATGCTCGACTTGAAAGCAATCAACAACAACAACAACAACAAGTGTATGAAGCAACTGAAAATACTATAGCTTTTGTCAGGTATATTGTAGTCTTATAGGTGATAGCCTGGCCTTTTAATAAGCTTGCTTACTCAAATATTCTGATTTCAGTGATGGTAAAGTAAGTTCTTAAGAGTTATCACAGGAGTCCAGAATTAAGGGTGCATAGTGGAGTGTACCTGGGGCGGTGGGAGAGGTGCTGGGGGATTGTATACCGAAGAAGGAATTTTTCTTTTACTTTTTCAAAGAAAGGAGCAAACTGGGGGGAGGGGGGAAGGTCAGGGCAGGGAGAAAAGTGCAACAATGAATGAATGGAAATCCAAAATCTCTGTAAATGTTCATTAAAATTATTAAAATAAAATTTAAAAAAAGAGAGATGTGACAATGAGCCCTGATTTCAAATCTGGGAGGCGGCACCAAGTCACAACTACAGTAGCAATCTTTGTAAAGTATCTTCTCAATTTCTACTGCTAAGCTTATCTCTCTGGTGGTCTTTTTATTCAATATGGAAAAGGATTCAGTCGAGAAATGTTTAATCCCGTTTCACAAATTAAGAAGCTGATAAGAGACTCGCATTACATTTGACTATTCTTAAAAACCAGAAACATAAAAAAAAATGTAGCTATATTGATAAAAGTGTAATAAAGTCATGTCCTTCCCTCATGCTTTATATGGAAATAACTTCCACAGAGTGGAGAAGAGTAAGGAAGTTGCGTCTGGCTCCCGCTCTCACAGCCATTGCAGGACATTGAGCTCCACAGAGACAGCTCCGGGCCAGACAGAGCCGGAAGGCACCTCTCTGCCTCGTGGACGAAAAATAAGTAACCACGGGCAAAGGAGATCCTAAGCAGCGGAGAGGCAAAATGTCATCGTATGCATTTTCCGTGCAAACCTGCAGAGAGGATCATAAGAAGAAGCACCCAGGTGCTTCTCTCAACTTCTCAGAATTTTCTAAGACGTGTTCAGAGAGGTGGAAGACCATGTCTGCTAAAGAGAAAGGTAAATTTGAAGACATGGCAAAGGCGGACAAGGTCCATTATGAGAGAGAGAGGAAAACCTATATCCCTCCTAAAGGTGAAACAAAAAAGAAGTGCAAAGATCCCAACGCGCCCAAGAGGCCCCCTTTTGCTTTTTTCTTATTTTGTTATGAGTATCACCCCAAAATCAAAGGCGAGGACCCTGGCCTTTCCATTGGTGATGTTGCGAAGAAGCTTGGAGAGATGTGGAGTAATACTGCTGCCGATGACAAGCAGCCCTATGAGAAGAAGGCTGCTAAGCTGAAGGAGAAGTACGAGAAGGATATTGCTGCATCCAGGCCTGATGCCGCCAAAAAGGGAGTTGTCAAGGCCGAAAAAAGCAAGAAGAAGAAAGAGGAGGAAGATGAAGAAGATAAGGAGGACAAGGAAGAAGAGGAAGATGAGGATGAAGAAGATGATGATGATAAGGATGAATAAGTGGGTTGTAGCACAGTTTGGTTTCTTTTCTTGTCTATAAAGCATTTACCCCCACCCTGTACACAACTCACTCCTTTTAAAGAAAAAAAAATTGACATAAGGCTGTGTAAGATTGGTTTTTAAACTGTACAGTGTCTTTTTTGGTATAGTTAACACACTACCGAATGAGTCTTTAGATAGCCCTGTCCTGGTGGTATTTTCAGTAGTCACTAACCTTGCCTGGTACATAAAATATGGGGGTTGTAAATTGGCATGGAAATTTAAAGCAGATTTTTGTTGGTGCACAGCACAAATTAGTTATATATGGGGATGGTAGAAACTGAATACCACTCTGTAATTGCAAAAATAAAGAAATAAAAACAGAAAAAAAGAGTTGCAGCTGTTTTGTTGACATTCTGAACGCTTCTAAGTAAATACAAATTTTTATCAGTAAAAAAAAAGAAATAACTTCCATAAGAATCAATTATATTCCATTGATATATGTGTCTGTCACTATACCAGTACCATGCTGTCTTAATTACGCTTCTCAAAAAGTTGCAAATAGAGATACCATTTGACCCAGCAATTCCACTACTGGGAATATACCCTAAAGAGACCAGAACCGCCATCCAAGCAGATACATGCACACCCATGTTTATTGCAGCTTTGTTCACAATAGCAAGGAGTTGGAAACAACCTAAGTGCCCATCAATAAATGAATGGATAGAGAAGCTGTGGTATATTCACACCATGGAATACTATGCTGCATTGAAAACTAAGGAACTCATATGATACTAGTCAAAATGGGTGACCCTCGAGGACATTATGCTGAGTGAAATATCTCAGTCACAAAAGGACAAACACTACATAGTGCCACTGCTGTAGAATGGGACCGACATCGGTGTTGGGGTAAGAATGAGAAAAACTGGATGATTTATGTATACTGCGTTGAAATGGATAAGGAAGAGAACAGTTTAAAAGCAATATATTATAGGGCATTATGATAATCATAAGAGTCCAGAATGAAGGTTGCAGAGTGGAGTATACTCAGGTTGGGGGTGGGGTGTGTGAGGGGGCATTGTATACCAATGAAGAAATTTTTTTTTTTACTTTTCAAAGAGAAGAGTGATGGGGAGGGGAGAAAAGTGCAACAATGAATGAATGGAAATCCAAAATCTCTGTAAATATTCATTGAAATTAATAATAATAAAATAAAAATCAAAATAATATAAAACATTGATTGAAAATAATAGAATAATTAAGAACACATTAAATTTAGTGTGGATGAACATGATCATTATCTTTCATGTAAAAATTATTTTAATCATGTCACCCTAGCTAAAGAAACATTTTTAAGAAAATATTTATAAATTTAAATAAATGTGTTCTAAATGTAGCTAGCTAAAAATTGCAAACTTTAAGAATATTTATCATTGAAAAAATATTTATCATAAAATTACATTATCCTGATCATAGTTTGAGGGCTTTAAAAGCACCAGGTAAAATACAGGTATTTTCATAAACAGATAACTTATGACAGAAGATAACTCAAGTTATCTAGTAAGAGATAATTCATGAATAAGAAATGTTAAATAAATGGACAATATATGAAGAATTTGTCAATTTCTTTTGCAATTAAATATATAATTATATTAAATATACAGATGATTAAATATAAACAATAATATATTTTATGTGTTAGACAAAATACAAACTGTCATTACTCAGTAACAACAAAATGATTCAAAACATAGACACATTTCCACACAGTTGAGACAATTTTCTGGAATCTGTCTAGTAATATTGCATCAGCATTTTAAAGATGTATACCACATGAACTAGTAATTTCATATTATACATTTATCCCAGGGTTATAATCAGCTTCTTTTAAAACATTTCTGTTTAACAATATTCACTGCAATGCTTTTAGAGCAAAGAAAGAAAAGAAAAACAAAACCAAAAAACCATAAATAATTAGATTTACTGTTAATAAAGATTTTAAAAAATTCTAGCATATTTATAAAAACCTCTAATTGTGTAGTCGTCAGGGAGCTTCACTGCTAACCCAGGCTTCACCTCCCTGGCAGTTTGAGTCCACCAGTAGCTTCATGGGGAAAAGATGGACAATCTCCTCCCTTGAGATTTCCAACTTTTAAAGTTGTAAATTTAAAACTTCTGGAAGGTCACCCATGAGTCATTTCTGACTTCTTGGAACAATACAAAGAGGAGAAAAAAGAAAGGAAGGGTGGAATGGATGGAAAGAGGGAGAGATGGAGAGAGAGAGACAGATGCAAGGGCTGCTCACTGGGAGAAATGTTTCAGCAACAACATGGCATTATAAAATTTAGTGGACAGTGTGTCATCTCTGCCTCAGCAGAAAGTACATTGAAAGAGAAAATTAACATATGTAACAGTAGCATAGTATTACTGCTAAGGAGTCTTATACTAAAGTATGCTGACATTTTTGAGGCTATAAATCCTTATCAAAGAGACTATTCATTTCCATCTCCTTTGTACAGAACAGGGATTGACATCCAACTCTTTGTGTGTTATATAACACCAGAGTTTTTCCAATATGGTGTCTCTCTCTTCCTCATTGCCTATCCGGTTGGAACCAGCTCATAGCTGACTCTCCAGTGGGTTTCAGAAGCTGTAAATTGCAAGGGGGCTGTGGGGAAATTGCCCATCTTTCTCTGATAGAGCAACTGGTAGATTTGAACCCCTAGAGAGGCTCCATGTAAGGGTTAGTATGTCAGCTCTCTGTGGACTATGCCACCAGAGCTCCCTCAACACAGTATACACTATACGTCATTTCACAGAATTTGTGATATATAAAATCTGTGATACATAGACACATATTTACAAATGCGTTGTTCATTATTCAAATCTAGTCATTCCCTTAAGTTGATTAGTGTATTTATACAATGAGAGAAGCTGTTATTCAAACTTACTTTGTTCAATGTTTAGAAGCCATAAGGTATTAATTAATGTGATCAGTAAGAACTATTCTTACATACAGTGTGTGTATATGTATGTAAGACTATGAGTGTATGTTTGTATGCTTAGAGGGAAAACTACAATTGTGAACAAAATATGCTCAGTAATCACATCTCATATGTAAGATAAAATTATTTTCTATTTCAGGTTATAATTTTATATCTAGAAAAAAGGTAATAAAGCCATATTTATGTGGTAAAATAAAGAGATATTATAACTATATCCTTTTTACTCCCAAATTAGGACTAACCCACAACTGACCCTCCAGAAGATTTTGAGAGTCAGTAAAATACACAAGAGGAAATTGTTGATCTTTCTCTCTTGAAGCAGCTTATGGATTCAACATACTTTGATGTTGGCAGAGCAATTTCTTAACCAATAAACCACCTGTATCCCTATAACAATGTAGATAAATATTACCCCATGAGTATATCACGGAGATCTGATGGCCTCATAGCTCGACTGCAATTCCAAAGTGGCTTTGATGCAATTCAAAAAGCATTTGAATCCAGCAGCTGTTCTGTGGGGAGAAGGATCTTCTCTGATACAATGAACAGCCTCTTAAAGACCACTGGAGGGTCAGCTATAGGACAGTTCAAACAGGATAGCACAGAATAATAGTAATGATAGTGTATTTCACATGATCTTGCATTACTCTCACCCCTTAAACACAGTGTGATCTAAAAAAAAATCACTTCTGAAACCAATCCTCTGCCTAAAAACTTTGAATTTGCATTAGTAGGTGTCTGTTGTCATCATGAAGACACTCTCTTCATGAATGTCTTTTTAAAAGTTTACCCTGTGCATGTTAAAGAGCTTGAATTAGAAAGGGACAAGACTGATGCAAGATCACCTTGAGATACCCTGTGGGGTACTTAAGTGGGCTCTATCCCCTGAATGTGTGCATTGTGAAAGCCAAAAATGAAGGCAAAGAGATTTGTGGTAATCATAAAAAGCACTAACAGCTAAGAGAAGAGAGCTCTGGTGGCTTAGTGGTAAGAAGCTGCACTGCATGCTCAAAGGCAGGGAGTTAAAATCCACCAGCTGCTTCATCACCTGGTTGAAGAAGGAATAGCAATTTCTTTTCAAGTGATTTACTGCCTTGGAAAACCTACTAGTGTTTCAACTTTGGGTTGGTTCTGACTTTATGGCACAGAACAACATTAATGTCTCTAAGGACCAACTTCTTTGCACTTCCTACAAGGTAAGGCTTTTTGTTCTTTTGGCTGTCATTGGCAAATTCAGACTCTTATCAAACACTGCGCTTCCTAAGTATCTAGTCTTCTTCTGCCATCCGTGTTTATTGTCCAACTTCCAAGGCTTGGGTCAGGCACAAGTTAGTCTTTCAAGTGACATCTTTAATCTTTAGAACTCTGGAGATGTCCTAGACAGCACATTTCTTCAATACAAAACGTCTTTTGATTTTGAGTCCCACCGTGAGCGTTGATCATGGATCCAAGTAAAATGAAATAGTTGCAACTTCAATCTTTTCTACATCTATCACAATGACTATTGGTCCATTGGTGAGGATTTTTGTTTTTGAGATGTTGATATACAGTCCATATGAAAAACTGCAGTTTTGATCTTTTATAAAAAATGTTTCCAGTTTTCCCTTTCATAATGAAGGTTGTTGATGAGTCTGCCCAGCATACAGACTGAACCATTATGGAAAAGGATGCAACACTGACACAGGCTATTCCTGATTTTAAATTATGCAATGTTTCCTTGTTCTTTTTGGTCAATTGCTTCTTTGTCTATGCAGAGGTTTTGCATTAATAAAATTAAAGTGTTCTGGGATTCTCATTGTTTTCAAAATCAGCCATAATTTGTTGTGATTCATACAAATGTCTTTGTATAATCTATAAAAAAATGACATCAACTGAACACATATCCTACAAGAGCTATCCAGGTAGCATGGAACCCAGGATGGCAATGGAGGGGCAAGGGCAGTCATATCCACACAGCTGGTAATGATTCACCACCAGGGGTAGGGGCATCACAGAAAACTCACATTTCAACTGGTT